TTTTATTAAGATAGATTTGAATAATTACAAGGAGGCCCTTAGTTGGGCAAGAAATTACAAAGAACATAATATAGACAGGATGGGCCCAGAATAAGGTCCATTACATAAAAACATAAATAATAAGAAAACAATAAACAACCTATGGGTCATTCGGCCCATCTTCTCTACAGGAAGAAACTGGGAAGCTAGGTGAGAAACCTACTAACACACCCATTGAACAAAACCACAAGATAAGGACCGAAGGTGGAGAGCCCCTTGAAGACAAGATTATGTTTCAACGGTTGGTTGGAAAACTGCTTTATCTTTGCCTCACATGACCAGACATTTCCTATGCAGTCAGTGTAGTTAGCCAATACATGCATTCTCCCAAAACTACTCATCTTATTGCAGTTGAGAGGGTTCTTGCTTATGTAAAGAGATGTCCGGGCAGAGGCATACTCTTCAGAAATAATGGTTACATGAAGATAGAAGTCTACATAGATGCTGATTGGGCTGGGTGTGTTGATGATAGGAGGTCTACTTCTAAGTATTATGCCTTTGTAGGAGGCAACCTTCTCTCTTAAAGGAGTAAGAAATAGAATGTTGTAGCACGTTCTAGTGCTGAAGCAGAATACAGATTTATGGCACATGGTGTGGCTGAAGTATTATGGTTGAGATCCTTGTTTGAGGAACTGGGCATTGCTTATGGCACATGGTGTGGCTGAAGTATTATGGTTGAGATCCTTGTTTGAGGAACTGGGAATTGCTTATGAGAAACCCCTGATGTTGTATTGTGATAATCAACCTGCTATTAACATTCCCATAATCCAACACAGCATGACAGAACTAAACATATTGAGGTGGATCGACACTTTATCAGAGAGAGAGTCGCTTCTCAAGAAGTGTGTCTTCCATATATTGCATCCGATATGCAGCTTGTTGATCTCTTCACCAAGGCAATTACAAGGAGCAAGTTGGAAACAAATTTGCGCAAGTTGTAAATGATAAATATCTATTCCCAACTTGAGGGGGAGTATAGAGATGTAGAGCAATAATTAGTGATGTTATATTGCTGTCAGTTATTTTATTTATTGTGGTTCCCACTACTGCTGTTAGTTATTTCCTGCTTTATGTTTGCTGTTAGGTTGTTGTTATCAATGTTAGTTTTGTTAGTTATTTGCTTATGTAAGTAGTAGGGGCATTAGTGTAATTGCAGTCTTATATTTTAATGTTAATATAAATAGTTGAGTGGAGCGGCAACTCAAGTCAACCCACACTCTTTCTTTCATCCCTCTTCTCTCTTCTCTCTTCTTTCTTCTCTCTTCTCTCTATTCTCTCTTCTTTCTTCTCTCTTCTCTCTATTCTCTCTTCTTTCTTCTCTTTTCTTTTCTCATTCAATGTACATCAAGAATTGGACTGATTACAGTCCTGATTTTCCTACTGTATACACTCACTGACAATCAATTGCCCATTTTCTAGGAGGTAAAGAGGTGAGGTCCCATGTGTGGTTAAACTGGAGAGCCTAAAATTCATTACCCATTACTTTCTTCCAATCAGGCAAGGCAAGATTGCATTTTAAGGACCTTCCAGTGGGCCATTTCATATTTCTATACATTGTGCATTATAAATATTTTGTTAATGATCTATACAACTAAAAGAGGGCTTGAGATCACTTTGATTAGTGACCTATATCATGTTTTCCTAGTTTTCCCTTGAGATGCCTGTGCTTCTAAAATGGTCAAAGTAAATCCACATCTTCCAGTTTCACAATAGAGGGAGAACCTATTTATCAAAAAAAAAAAAAGAAAAAAACAATAGAGGGAGAACCTTTTTCCATTGCAGCATTAATATGATCACATAAGTACATGTGCATAGAACTAAAAGATCRTGCAGCATTAAGTTAAAACTAGATAACTTGTCACAATAGATTTCATTAATATCATTGCAACTAAAAACCAAACATATACATATCATGCTCTGATAAATTGAGATACTAAAAAGAGGACCTTGTCAGCCAATCGCTGCACAGGAGCTTCCCTACTCTGTGCTTCTTCCACCAAAYGAACAATGCCTCCCATGACAGACTCACCCCCTGACCTTCTTACTTCAATGGTAAGAGTACCATTTAAGTTTATGCTTCCTGCAGCAACTTCAGCCTGGAACAAAGAAAAAAAACACATATTGAATTGGTAATATGGAAAAGAAATTAACAAAAATGTAAGCACAACCAAATATAAAGGATGGACAAGATTATAATGGTAAACTACAAAGTGATGCTGACTAAAACATGCTTTCAAATATGCAAAAAATGGCCATGTAATGCCAGATGGGTGTAAGTTGACAAGAAATTCATACCCCAGGCAATTTTGTTATTGGCAGTGGCTCCCCTGTAAAACTTGATTCATCAACTGTGCTTCTACCAGCTCTCACAATTCCATCTGCTGGGATTCGGTCCTAAAGTGAAGGAATATTATTAAAGGTTATGAAAAAAATTGCATACTATAACAGGATTTCATCAAGGACCATAATTAGAAAGCTTATCCCGATCAGTGTTTTAACAAAACAAAAGAGGTGTATGCATGGAGGCACAGCCTCCAGGTCAGACATGAGGAAAACACTCTAAGGTGCAAAATAAAAGTCAGCCTCTTGTATAAAGGTGCATATAAAGGCATTCACAGTATACGCTTTTTGTGATAGGTGAAGAAAAATTTAATAAGAAACATATACAACAAAGGCATGCACAGCATACACTTTTACGTGCCTTACATGAGAAGCATACACTTTATTACATCCCCATCACATGATACCATAAGTTAAAAGGAAAATCAAATGAATAAAATGTAACTTTTTACTCTTGCTTTAATAGATCTAAATTGATTTACTTAATATTGTTTCTTTTCAATCATAACTTGATTAGGCATTGTTATTTGTATGTTGTATCATACTTTCATATGCTATTACAGTGGCTTGAAGGATTTTCTTGGAAAAATGTAAAGGATAAGGTAAAGAAGGGATACACAATTTTTTTATTTATTCTGTTTTATTTTATTTTTTAATTATGCATTAATTAAAAATGAATTGTTAAATGGGCAGTTCAATACCAAAAGACAAATAGATAACAATCTGAATAAAAGCAATAGATTTGAAACTAAAATCTTGCATCCATAAACATAGTAAAGCTAGAAGAATGTACATATATCACAAAATCAAGACTTTTCCATAACAAGGCACCACAAAGGAATGAAGGAAACAAAGGGCTCATTTTACTTACTCCAGGTAGTACAACAATTTTGTCTCCAATAGCAAGATTGCTGCATGGAACTTCAACTATAGAGTTCACCTCTTCTACATCGCCATCCACCACAAGGCGAGCTTTGGAAGGTAGAATACTGAGAAGTCCTGTCATATCACTGGTAGCTTTGAGTTTTGCCCTCTGCTCAAGATTCCTCCCTAACAAGACAAATGCTATTAACATAATTGGTTCCTCAAAGAATGCCTTCCAACCCTGCAGAATCATCATCCATTCGATTAGGGACACTAAATTAATACATATCAAATGTAGAAGAACTACTGAAGGGTAGTTTTATAATTCTACTTTATTTTTTCTTTCTTGTACTTTAATAGGTGTGCACTTTAGTGTACAGATTCTTTTTATTCTCTTTGTAAGGACAATCTTGTCCATTCACATAAGTTTAATATATTGTTGTACAAGAGAAAGGGAGAGAGGAGAGGAGAGACGAGAGGACTGAGAGCCCAAAAGAATACTGCAGGCGTGCAATATGTTATTATTTATACCAGGGTGACCGTACAACTTAAAAATAAGAAATAAATTACAAAAGTACCCCTGCGGTACCATACATATATAAAATAACATCTGTTAACACTCCCCCTCAAGTTGGAGCATAGATATCAATCATGCCCAACT